CATTACGGAGCTGTCGAGTATTACGGCAATAGCGGTATAAACTGATCTGCATACGGTAATATAGGAGGACACACTGCATCACGGAGCCGGTGAGCATCATGGCATCAGTGGTGTATACTGATCTGCATACAGTAATATCAGATGACACACTGCATCATGGAGCCGGGGAACATCACGGCACCAGTGGTGTATACTGATCTGCATACAGTAATATCGGATGACACACTGCATCATGGAGCCGGTGAGCATCATGGCACCAGCGGTGTATACTGATCTGCATACAGTAATATTGGATGACACACTGCATCATGGAGTCGGGGAACATCATCACGGCAGCAGCAGTGTATACTGATCTGCATATAGTAATATCACATGACACACTGCATCATGGAGCCGGGGAGCATCATGGCACCAGCGGTGTATACTGATCCGCATACAGTAATATCGGATGAAACACTGCATCATGGAGCCAGGGAACATCATGGCACCAGCGGTGTATACTGATCTGCATATAGTAATATCACATGACACACTGCATCATGGAGCCGGTGAGCATCATGGCACCAGCGGTGTATACTGATCCGCATACAGTAATATCGGATGAAACACTGCATCATGGAGCCAGGGAACATCATGGCAGCAGCGGTGTATACTGATCTGCATACAGTAATATCGGATGACACACTGCATCATGGAGCCAGTGAGCATCACGGCACCAGCGGTGTATACTGATCCGCATACAGTAATATTGGATGAAACACTGCATCTTGGAGCCGGGGAACATCACGGCACCAGTGGTGTATACTGATCTGCATACAATAATATCGGATGACACACTTCATCATGGAGCCGGTGAGCATCACGGCACCAGCGGTGTATACTGATCTGCATACAGTAATATCGGATGACACACTGCTTAAGCCCTATCACTGCTGATTCCTCACGGCACAAATTTCCAGATTGCAAAGCAATTTATATTTGTGACTTATTTTACTTGGTGCGGTCGGGTACCTTACACATGTGAGTGCGCATTTTGTATAATATTTGGATATTAAACTGTTTTAAAGTTTACGCACTATGTCTTTTGTTTATGAGGTGATGTGATGGTGAGAGTTGTATTTCAAAGAAGGTGTGAACCATAGTTGGAAACCATCAAGGTGATCTTCAGTGTCTGATTTGGGACCAAAAGCTTAGTTAGACCAAACATTATATTATGTGAGGTCACACTTCTGGAGGTGAGCAGACATCTGGTGGTGGAATTCTGCACTTTCTTTTTTTGAAGCACTTGGTAGTTGCAGAAGGATGGAAGTACTTTAATGAAGATAATTGGACTTTTATTGAAATATTTTTTCTATATTTATATATTTATTTATATTTATTTATATTTTCAATTTATGTTGTTTTTTCACCTAATATTGTAGCGCTGCACTGGTCACTGTGTAAATTATAAGAATACTGCTGTAGGGGTTTTCTATTATAATAGTAACAATATTAGTAGTAGTAGTAGTAGTAGTAGTAGTAGTAGTAGTAGTAGTAGTAGTAGTAGTAGTAATATTAATAATACTGTTAGCAATACTAATATATATATATAGTTTTTATTTTGAATTCCCATATGTGGGAATAACCTATGACCCCTATTCTCAGGATCTTAGGTTTCCTTCCAGGGAGGACTGCATCCATGAAAAGCCTTCCCTGCTCTTCTCTCCAGCCTTAACTCTTCACATCCTGGTGAGATTTCACTGCTGCATATCACTGGACATCACCATAATAAATTAGCCTCTTAAACAGGATGAAACCTTTCTCCAGCAGTGCTGAAATATGGAACAAAGGTAATGATCACCCAGGCATTATCACTGTTTATTAAATGGAAAAGGATCATGACACACTGGGGGTTAACTGCAAGGTGCAAAATCTGGTGCAGCTCTGCATAGGAACCAATCAGCTTCCACGGTTTTATTGCCAAATCTTAATTGAACAAACTGAAGCTAGGTGCTGATTGGCTACAATGCACAGCTGCACCAGTTTTAGTAAATCTCCCACACTGACAGCTATAGCATGCCAAGGCTCTGCAAATCTTCCATTGCTGCAAATAGAGGAATATTTATTGACTGTAAAGTTTCCATAGTATAACTGTTACATTAAAAAAAATAATGTCAGGGCACTGCCAATGTATTGCCTATAATTTCTGATCAATCTAATGTTACCTTTGGAAAATAAAAGTATAGATTGCTATTGCTAACACTTACAATTCTGGGTGGCTTAACACTTTAAAACATTGACTACAAGTTATCTTCCTATCTTGTAAATCATTTGCCATTTACAAAGTGAGTAATATCAAGCACCGATCCAACACTATTACAGGTTATTAAATGAAACCAGTATCCTCCTTTAATTAACTAAAACTGAACGGCAAACTGATTTATTCTAATGTTTATTTTAATCAGAACAAATCAGGGCTGTGGAAATATTCCTGCATGTTTCCTGGCTGCCACCTAAGCACATGCCTAGAAGAAGGCTCTGCATTTAATTCAAAGCCTGATAATAAAATACCAAGGTGTACAATTCAACTGGGATTTCCTATAGTAATGTATTGTTATATAATAATGAGTCCAACATTACATACCAATCACATTATGTTACCAGAGCTAGAGAATAAATCTGATACACATATAAACACTTAGCTATTTATCCACAGAAATGACACCTACTGTGCCCTTTAAATATATATAAAATGTACCCCATTTAAATCAATTGTTACAAGAAGTAAGGAAAAAGGGAATTATATGATCTTACAAACTCTTAAAAAAATAATAAATATCTAAATGGTTCTTCTTGTCACCACATGCACAAAACATTAATAAAAATACTATTTTACAATTGCAGTGCCTAGAAAATCATAATTCTTGATTTAAATCTAATTACTACACCAAACACATCTCTGTTATGTTTCCATATGAATATGACATTAATCTATTCGAATACTTGTGGACAGATCTGAGATGAGTCTGATATGTTTATATAATAACATGAATTTCCATAGATTGGAATACTTTCGGACAGATATGAGATGATTCTGTTGTTATTCTATATGAATGGGACATTTCATGGATCAGAATACGTGTGGACAAGTCTGAGAAGAGTCTGATATGTGTATATATTAATAGGAATGTTCATAGATTGGAATATTTGTGGACAGATCAGAAACGATTTTGATGTTATTCTATATCAATATGACATTTGATGGACCAGAATACTTGTGGACAGATCTGAGATAAGTCTGAAATGTTTATAAATTATTAGAAATGTTCATAACTAGTATACTTGTGGACAAATCTGAGATGATTGTGATGTTATTATATATATGACATTTGATGGATCAGAATACTTGTGGACATATCTGAGATGATTGTGATGTTATTCTATATATGACATTTGATGGATCAGAATACTTGTGGACAGATCTGAGATGATTGTGATGTTATTCTGTATGACATTTGATGGATCAAAATACTTGTATACAGATCTAAGATGACTATAATATGATTTCATATGAGTATGACATTTGATGGATCAGAATATTTGTAGACAGATATAAGATGATTGTAGGTGGATATTATTTTCATAGATTGGAATACATATGGACAAATCTGAGATGATGTTATTCTATATGAATATGACATTTGATGGATCATAAAACGTGTGTACAGATCTGAGATAACTCTGATGTTTTCATATGAAAATTACATTTAATGGATCACAATATTTGTGGAGAGATCTGAAATAATTGTGGATGAATGTGACATTTCATGGATCAGAATATTTGTGGAGAGATCTGAGATGCTTGTAGATGACTATGATTTTCCATAGATCGGAATTGTGGACAGATCTTATATTCATATGTAATAATATCAGATTCATCTGACATTTGGTGGGTCAAAATACTTGTGGACAGATCTGAGATGATTCTAATATGATTACATATGAGTATGACATTTCATGGATATTTATGGAGAGACTTGAGTTGACTGTAGATGACTATGATTTTCCATAGATTGGAATTGTGGACAGATCTTACATGAATCTGATTATTATTACATATGAATATGACATTTGGTAGGTCAGAAAACTTGTGGACATATCTGAGATAAGTCTGATATGTTTTCATATGAAAATGACATTTATTGGATCACAATATTTGTGGAGAGATCTGAAATGCTTGTAGATGACTGTGATTTTTCACAGATTGGAATTGTGGTCAGATCTAAGATGAATCTGATCATTTTACAAATGAGTATGACATTTGATGGATCAGGATATTTGTGGAGAGATCTGATTTGACTCAGATTGGAATTGTGGACAGATCTAAGGTGAATCTGCTATTATTACATATGAATCTGATGGATCCGACTGTTTGCTGACAGCTGAAAGATGATTTGGATTGTGATATTTCATGGCTCGGAATACTTGAGGCCAGATCTGAGATGACTGTCATCTCACACTGACTTTGCATTTTGCCATGTCAATGGTGAGCTCCCACGGCTGACTAAACGATGCTTTCCTTCGGATCCTCTCTGCATAATGCCTCCAACTTATTTGTCGGTCTCGCTAACTGATCCGGCTCGCTATTGTATTTTAAACATACTATTGCAATCTCCAGCAGCACCTATTATCCCAGCTAATAAATTTGACCTATTGTTCGTTTGTTAAAATGATGTCACCTTCGAACAGTCCCTAAGCTGCCGTTTCAATGAATTGCCAGCTGATGAGGGGTGGGAGCCAATCGCGGAGCAGAGGCTTGCTCCTCTCCGCCAATCCCCGTAGCAGGAAATACATTCGACGCTGAAAGTCGAGCTTTGGTTCAAAAGGATGACACAGAGCCTATCGGGCTTGACCAAGCTTGGCAAAGTTTCAGTCTCCATCCAGCAGGACGTACATGGACCCAGAGTGAAGGAGGACGGGGATTGTTGTAGAGGAATAGCCAATTTTTCTATTGACACAGGATGGATCAGCCCACAAGCACACAGACCCAACACCAACATGAACCCATCAGCTTTGGGATTGACCAGATCCTGAACAATTCGGAGCAGGAAAACTCTGCCCAAGTGGCCCCCCGACCCTCCGACAACGCCAACTACCTGAGCAGTCCGATCAGCCGTTCCAGCGCCCCGTACTCGTCCCTGCCAGCCTCCTTCCCTGGCATCGGGGCCGCCTTTGAAGACTCGGGATCTTACAGTGTCAACCTAAGTCTGGCTCCAGCTGGAGTCATCAGAGTGCCAGCTCATCGACCTATCCCTGGTGCCGTCCCACCTCCCATCTCCAGTGCCATCCCAGCCATGCCAGCTGTGCCCGGCCTTGGCAGCCTTAACTTCCCCTGGATGGAGAGCAGCAGAAGATTTGTGAAAGAAAGATTCTCAGGTAAGGACCCTGCCCATCCGCTCCCTCATCCCATACCACTACTAATCGATAGATAGATTGTTAGATAGATAGATAGATAGATAGATAGATAGATAGATAGATAGATAGATAGATAGATAGATGTTACATTACTTTTCCCGGTGAATAACCTTTAGATAATCCTAAATAGATAAAAAGACTGCTAATATAGATTTATAAAAAAAAAAGACAAATAATAGACAGAAAGAGAGAGAGTGTGTGCAAGAGAGAAAAAAAGACTGATAATATAGATGAAGTTAGATAAATAAAAAAAAACACTAAAAACAGAGAGAAAGAGAGAGTGTGTGCAAGAGAGAGAAAAAAGACTGATAATATAGATGAAGTTAAATAAATAAAAAAAAGACTAATAACAAAGAGAAATAACAAGACTAATAATAACAGCAAGAGACATAAAAAAAACTGATAATATAGATGTAGTTAGATAAATTTAAAAAAGACTACTAACAGAGGGACAGAGAGAGTGTGTGCAAGAGAGAAACAAGACTGATAATATAGATGTAGTTAAATAAATAAAAAAGACTAATAACAGAGTGAAATAACAAGACTAATAATAACAGAAAGAGAGAGAGAAAAGTCTGATAATATAAATGTAGTTAGATAAATTAAAAAAAAAACTAATAATGAGAGAGAGAGAGAGAGAGAGAGAGAGAGAGAGAGAGAGAGAGAGAGAGGAGAGAGAGATAGATTAAGTTAAATAAATAAAAAAAGACTAATAACAGGGAGAAAGAGAGAGAAAGAGTGTGTGTACAAGAGAGAGAGAAACGAGAGTGATAAAAAAGAGATGAAGTTAAATAAAAAAAAAAAAAGGCTAATAACAGAGAGAGACAACAAGACTGTAAATATGTATTTTAGTTAGTTAAATAAATAGACTAATATGGGAGAGGGACTGATAATATAGATGTAGTTAAATAAATAAAAAGACTAAAAACAATGAGAGCGATCGATAGATAAAAAGAATGGTAGTTAGATAAATAAAAAAAGACAGAAGAGAAAAGAGAGAGAGAGAGACTGGTAATATAGATGAAGTTAAATAAATAAAAAAAGACTAATAACAGAGAGACAGACAGACAGACAGACAGACAGACAGACAGACTGATAAGGAAGAGAGATAATCAGATACAGATGTGATTTTTCCCTGAGTACCCTTTTAGATCATCTCAAATAATCTTTGGAAACATTACATTGGTCCCTTGCTTATTGGCACACTGTTTACATAAAAAAAGATAAAAAGATACATAGAAATAAATATTCTTTGACAAAGTTCAGTTGTTCCTTTGCTGAATGGCACAGCGATTGAATTGGCTGCTTACTATATATATATATATATATATATATATATATATATATATATATATATATATATACACAGATGTGATATTACTGTGAAATTCCTTTATTCTTTTAAATTAATACCTATTACATCAACTGCTTACAAAACGTATATATATATATATATATATATATATATATATATATATATATATATATATATATATATATATATACACACACAATTGTGAAACAAGTGTTATGGTTTTGTTTTTTATAATCCTGGGGGAAAGTCTATTGCTCAATGACAGAATAATTTATTAGTACGACTGAGTGCCTAGTTTAGGTATTGGAAATATATATACTGAGATATATTATAAATATTCCTTGGAAAAGTTCCATTGTTCCCCTGTTCATGTGGGGCACACTTGTTCAACTGACTGCTGGATAGATAGACAGACAGATAGAGAAATGTAAAAATATGATTTTTCTTGTGAATCCTGGAATCATTCCTAGAAAGGTACCATCGTTCATTCATATTGATTTTATTTACTATTAGGATCAAACGTCCAATATTCGGACAATAAATAGAGATATGATTTTCCTGTGAATCTCCCTTGGTGATCTTGAATCATTTTGAGAAAGGTCCTACTTTACATTGGATTAGGTTGGGTAAATACTGTCTATATGTTCTCCCCCAGACAATAGTAGAAGACACAGTACATGGAAACATTTTACGTGAATCCCTATTCAGTGTGCAGCATGTACTAATTGTATGTACTAAGCAGATGGCCTGTGTTTTTTCACCTCAGGGCATAATGAATTTAAGTGCAAGTATCCCTAAAAGGCAATACAAACAGGGGACATGTGATAGCATCAATGTAAAGGGTGTGGGGGTGTAATATAATACCTTGTCACTTTCCTTGTCCATGGATTTGTCTGTATTGTTCATCCCTCTTCATCATGTTTAATATATAGGTGACTATTTCAGTTCTTTCTTCATATATACTGTATAAAGTGACCCTCTCCTATACTTTTTATCCCACATATCAGCTGCTGCAGCCCTGACCCCATTCACAGTGACTCGCAGGATCGGACACCCTTACCAGAATCGGACGCCTCCCAAGCGTAAAAAAACCGCGAACGTCTTTCTCCAGAGTCCAAATCTGCGAATTGGAGAAGCGATTTCATCGCCAAAAATACCTCGCTTCTGCAGAGAGAGCCGCCCTCGCCAAATCCTTGAAAATGACCGACGCACAAGTCAAGACATGGTTTCAAAACAGGAGGACAAAATGGAGGTGAGTGTTTATGGATGGAAGGTCATTGATGGGCTAGACTCCATTCAAATGTCTATCAAGTATCTTGTGGCCATACATGCTTCCATAAATTATCGATTTCTTTTCCAATTGATCTCTCTCAATAATCGTTGGATAGTTGGCAACAAAATTGATCAATATTCCACACATGGGGAAATGGAATTCGATCAATAGTTGGACGATATGATGGTAAGTTATCCATTGTAGCTTATTTTCCGCCAGGCAATCATATGCCGATCGATCGAAATACAATCGAATTTATGACCAGCTCATCCTAGTGGATCTGATTGATGCATAAGGATGGATAATTTTCCACCCTGGCTGATCAACTCAATTGTATCAAATCCCATCTAAATCACTAAATCATTTGGAAGGGAATAACAGGAAAGCATGTATGGCCACCATTAGTATTTTATTCATCTCACCTTCGCAATACGTTCTGCTATGTTTAAACTAACTGAACAAAAAAAGCTTTGACTAAGCAACATATACCAGGAAGTACAAAAATTTTAGCAAAAAATGTGATATAACATAATAAAAATGTTAAAATACAACATTGTACTAACTGGTCATTGCACTGTAAATGTATCTGCATTTTCAAAATATTGAAAGAACAATCTACCTGGAGTGTGGATGAACAATGGAACTTTCCATAAAATGATTTACAAATAAAAAACATTTAGCTGCTGTTATCACACTATGTGTGGATGACCCTGATTTTATTTGTATAGCAAAGAAACATAACAAAGTGACAACAGAAGAACGCAAAAAAAGTGACAGCAGAAAAAAAAGACCAAGGTGCCCATCCAGTCTGCTCCATTTTTATTTTAATTTTGTCTGAGTGTAGATCTATGTTTGTCCTAAGCATGTATTGTACATCTGCTGGAAGTCTATTCCAAATATCAACTACTCTTTCTTTAAATAATAATGCTTTCTAATTATGGACTTTGCTCCCTGCTAGCACAGGGGATATTGGGAGGTCTTTTTCCAAATACATAATATGTATGGAATTGTTTTTCCAAATGCACTCCGGGTAGTGGAGAACACAATCTGAGCCCCCAAGAAGGATTACAAAGTAATAAACTGTTACAATTGATTGCTTCCTGAGTTTCATATGGCATGGCCTGTGAATGAATCCTTTGCTCCTATATGTATACGGTGTGATCTCTATTGCTTCTACAGTATTTCCATTCTACTATATGGATACTGAATGCTTTCTTTGATATGTTCACTAGAACTTGTATTTCATTTAGAGAGCGATAAAAGAAATGATACTTCATCGGAATTTATTAGAGACTGTTTGTGCTTTGACACACCTTCTACAAGCTTCGTGTTGATTCTGAAAGTGAAAGGAGTCATCATGCTCCAGATTGCCTCGGTTCAGGTCTAACTGGCATTTGACTAGACAGCTCAATTGCCACTCCTTGTAGAAAGGACTATTAGGATAGTAAGATTGTTATTATTATTATTATTGTTACTGTTGTTATTATTATTTATTATTATTATTAGACAGCTCAATTTCTACTCGTAGAATGGATTATTAGAATAGTGAGATTATTATTATTATTATTATTATTATTATACAGCTCAATTTCTACTCATTGTAGAATAGATTATTAGGATAGTGAGATTATTATTATTATTATTATTATTATTATTATTATTATTATAATACAGCTCAATTTCCACTCATGGTAGAATGGATTATTAGGATAGTGAGATTATTACTGTTATTATTATTATTAGCTCCATTTTCCATTCATTGTAGAATGGATTATTATGATAGTGAGATTATTATTATTACTGTTCAGCTTAATTTTACACTCATTCTAGAATGGAATGTTAGGATAGTGAGATTACTATTACTGTTATTATGAAAAAAAAATAATATTATTACTTTATTATTAATTATTTATTATTAGGATAGGGAGATTATTATTTTTACTGTTATTGTTGTTGTTTTTATTATGTGCTTAATGAACTAATTGTTGTTGCTGCTGCTGCTGCTGCTGTTGTGATAATAAAGATAATAGTAATAATAAATAGGTTAATTAAAAAAAACAATAATAGCAATACTAATTTAAAAAATAGTATCATTATTTCTTGCAAGGATTTATAAAAAAAAAACCAAAAACCTATAATAATATAAACCAAAATGTAGACTGGTTTAGAATGATGGTCTAGATGAATGATAGATTCACCAAGCTTTACTCCAAGATAAGGAGCTATATTTTTAGCCACGTGACTGTCATTTTTCAAATCTCATTGGATTCAGTTAAAAAAAAAAAGTCACGGTTTTGAAAATACAGAACCTTATCCTGGTGTGCTGGCTTTTGGAATATAGCAATTGTTTTTTTTTTTAAATTTCTCATTCAGTAATTATACTCAGCGTTTGTGATGAGTATATGAAGTTGCTGGTGTTGTATTTGAATGTAGACGTTTTGGTATTGGGAAGTCTATACCGGTTAGATACTCCTGGTTGGCAATTCAATTAAATATTCCTTTTATAAAATTAAATATGTTCAATTTTATATTTCTTTAATTTTTTATTTACTGTTTTTAAATATGTATTTCTTTACATGTCTGTATATTATTTGTTAAAAATAAGTTGATAGAATTTTAACCTTTTGAGGTTTAAGGACAAATGACCGCAGTGACATTTTAGGACTGTAGACGCTGAATGGGAATATGTTGGGATTACCGGGAAAAATAAACCGTTATTGGGGTATAGGGAGGTTTTCATTTTTATTTATTTCTTTATTTTCGTGTTCTTTATTGTTTTTTTATACTGAAATAGTGGGACTTGCTCGTCTTTTTGTTTGTTTTTTTTTTGTTTTGTTTTTTCACTGTAACTATAGGAAGGACTATCGAGATGTAAATATGAATTAGCCTAGGAAAGAAGTGTGTGTGGATGTAGGCAGTACAATCACTGTATGTAGAGTGTGCGATGCTAGCAATCGCTGCTCAGTCACCAGGCGCACATGTCGGAGCTCCGTTTCCTTCTCCAGACAGAGCTTTCAATTGTGATGGTGCTGATGATGAAGACGGCTATTTAGAACTATTCCTATGATCAATTCCAGAGAACGTCTTATCGTGCCAATTCCTTTTTTTCTTGTTGATCTGAAATTGAATTTGTGTCCTTGCAGGAGACAGACAGCCGAAGAGAGGGAAGCGGAGAGACAACAGGCGAACAGACTGATGCTGCAGCTGCAGCACGATGCGTTCCAGAAGTCGCTCAGCGACTCCATCCAGCCGGACCCGTTGTGTTTGCACAATTCTTCTTTATTTGCACTTCAGAATCTGCAGCCCTGGGAGGAGGAAGCCAGCAAGATGACTCCTGTCACCTCCCTAGTGTGAGGAAAAGAACCTGATTACCACAAACGTTTATTAAACAGAACTAGATTGTTACATAACGCCTAATAACGTGTCTCCGACGGATTGAAGGGTCCGCACTGGCCTCGGTCCGGACAGGGATTGGGCTGACCGCTTGTCAAGGCTGGAGCCTGCTACCAGTGCTGGGGACGACTGCCGATGGACGGCAGCCAGGACTGACTAGGGGACGTTCTTCCTTCTGGATGGCCAACATAGGGATCGCTCACATGATCTCACAGCCACTTCAACTATCATTTGATTTTTCTTTATGCCGCCAATTAAATATAGCACTATATGCAGATGCATTTACAAACACAACATAAACAGGTGTAATGTAGATTAGATGATGGCTTTCAATGACATTCACAAAAACAGCATATACAGGGGTAATGTGTGTGTATGTATATATATATATATATATATATATATACACACACACACACACACACACATATAATATATGTGTGTGTGTGTGTCACAAAACCCAGATGACTTTCAGCACCAATCGTTAAGTGTTATCCTATGGGATCACGCACATTAGGATGAATAGAGGCAAATTTTTTGCTCAACGTTTAGAGGCAGGTAAAAAAAAAAAAAAAAAACCTTCTGGTTTGCATTTTTTGATTGGAGCTTTCTGACAGAAAAAATACTACATTCACCTAAACTGTGCACACAAACTCTGTAAATCAGCATTTTTTTTTCTGCCAAGGGAACTGGCGTTTTTTTTTTTTTTTTATGCCCAGTGTGCATGGAGCCTGACCAAATGGTACATACATAATAATACAATACATTTTAAGATATGTATTTACAAACAAAATGTCAAAAGATCCCTTGTACTCCTACTGAAACATTTGGCTGATTTATTAAAAGTGGGTTGAGACTCTTCACTCAATGCCTTATGTGAATATGCACTTCAGTTTTCACTCACATAAAAAGCTAATCCCTGTTCACTTTAAGGCCTCAACACAGCCGTACAAAATTTACTGATCCTTGACGTTTCTGTGCAATGATCAGTAAATAGATTTTTTTTTAATGTGTAAAAATTGTCCTGTTTTTGTTTTTCTTTTCAATAATATCTGTGTATGTGGATGTCCTCAGATGCTTCATGCGCACAGTCGTAACACAGCCATAAAAAAATTTACTGATCGTTGAAGTTCCTGGGTAATGATCAGTAAATTGATGGGTTTTTTTAAAAGTGTAAAAATTGTCCTGTTGTTTTTATTTTTTTCAATGATATCTGTGTATACGCATGTCCTCAGACACTTCATTCACAGGGCCATAACACAGCCGTAAAAAATGTACTGATCATTGAAGTTCCTGCGTAATGATCTGTAAATAGATCAATTTTTTAATGCATAAAAATTGTCCTGCTGCTTTTTTTTTTTTATAATGATATACGTGTATATACATGTCCTCAGATGTTTCAATCAGATGGCCGTAAAATAAATGCATTTACAAGCATTTTTTTATTTGCAGATATGGACGCAGCTGCATTATTTTCAATGGAGACATTCACACAGGTGAATGCGTTCAGGTCTGCAACGTAAAATCCAAAATCTGTACCTGAGGGCAAACAATATACACATATTCCAGATACAGGTATTGGGAAAAAAAAAAAACAATTTAATGCAAGCATTTACTGCACACTATGCAAGAATTTGTGTTTTAAAAAAACCCATATGATCAGTAATATTTTTACGCCTGTGAAAATGTGACGATAAAAAAAGTAAACAGGAAATTGCTTTTCTTGTGAATGGGTAACTGAAGTGAATATTCACATAATTTATTGAAAGAAGATTCCCATCTCCTTTAGTAAATCAGCCCTACTGCACCTAGATTCCATTATGGTTCTAGGTTTATTTCTGTGGCCAAAAATCTCCAACTTGGCCTACCTTTGGATCTAATTTTTATATTTTGTTGGGTCATATCAAAGGTATTCTTTACAGAAAAAAGCTTATCATTATAGGCCTGATGTATAAAGCTTATGCTGCCTGTGTTCACTGTTCTTCACAAGCAAATTGGTGCTCACTTGCTTGTACACCCCTGATCACTTATATGGCAACCAACAGCCATGCACAGTGATTGATTTCTGGGATTTCTCTTACTATGATCAGTTGAATCAATAAAGAATATTTATTCTGAATATTTTTTACAGCACAATACATTTATTCGTAGTAAAGAAATATGAAGGAAACATATGTACAATATTTAAAAAAATTACATTTTGCAATCTGAAATAAATACGTTCACAATCTATATTAAACAATTATTATTTTGCTTAAACACCTGGATATTAGTGTGAACTGGTGCACTTACAAAATATATTTAATTTTGTTCTATTATTAATTAGTTTAATCTTTGCTTCCCACTCCTTTGATCAATAAGACAAGGCTTTCCAGACTACTTACTCTTTCATATCCACTGGGGCAATATGTTTTCCATAGATTTAAAATGCCTACCACCAATGGCTGGCAAGCAAAGTTAAGTATGCACTACCTTAGTTTCCTGGCTAAAAGCTCTGGGAGTATTTTGATGTGCATGGGTGTGGAAAAAGCATGGCATCATGAATATTTATTATTGTTCATTTTAATATGTTTTTATGCTTTTATATACTCTACAAAATGTATCTTGCCACCTTATTTATTGGAGCCTGAGCGCATAGGTATATTTTTTACTGTAAGCGTAAAAGATTCAGCAAAAATCAGGTTTTGAGCATTGGAAGTGCTGTAGTTTTTATTATAAATATAATTATTTTATAAGTAGAATAACAGCAAAATTGAATATGGAATCTTAATATTTATTTCTTTATAAATTCATAATTATTATACATTAATACCACCCAAATTTACAAAAGTTAATAAAAACATTATCCAAGACTAAAATTCCATTTCTGCTTTTTAAAGCGATTTTTATTTATTCAGTTTCTACTTATTAAATTCCTACTTGTCCACAAGATGGCTGTTCAAATGTGTGCTTAACCATACTGTTTGCATAGTCCCAAGCTTTGTAAAACATGATTTCTCTTTGGGTTTTTTTTTTTTTTTTTTTTTTTTTCAATAAATCTGGGTAAGGAATGCCTGTTGTATTGTCCCAGACCAACAGTCATAAAGTTTTTGACCTCAGGACATTAATATATGACCACCATTACATACCCTTAGTTAGTTCCTTTAGTAAACTAGCACAGTTTATTTATTTTTTAACTATTTGATGATAAACAGTTGAATTTAAAGAATTTAAAATGACATTTAAATCATGATTTTTTTTTACTGGGATATTATGGCATTTTTGGTATGTTAAAATCGATTTACAAAAGGAGTATTTATGATGGCCAGCAAATTTGTTTTCTTTTTAGACTGAATCTGTCACTAGACGGGCAAGATTTTTTTTTGTTAGCGTAGAAGCACTTGCAGAAATTTCTTTCACTTTTGAAATTATTGTCCATTGCTGAAAAATTTGCTATTGAAAATCAGGATTTTTGTGACCTTTATTTAAATCTCACATTTTTGCACTTATATGAGCAAAGTTGACTTTTACCCACACAGCTGTTCTATGCCCAGACATGATTGTGCAATATGTCTGTCCCCAATGTTAATTTTTTTTATTATTACAGTGTAAAAATAATCCCAAAAATTTGTGAATTATAGTATTTCCTAGTGTTATTTTGATGGTGACAGATTCCTTTCAGACACAAAGACAATTCAGTACAAAACAAACATTACAAATCCATGTACAGACTGGATGTATGAAGTCCCCTGAGCAAAAGTAAAAAATACTCCTTTGGTAAATCAGCCCCTTCCACAATATCAACTTGAAAATAGCTATATTTATAATATATGTAGCATAGTTGGAGTCATACAAAAATAAGCCTGACTTCTCTCATGTGAAATGAGGGGGTTTACCCTGCAATTGGACCTTTCTGTAGGATAAAAAAAATAAATACACAAAAGCCATATATTTTTTCATATATTTATATATACATACACACACACACTTTCTTTTATATATATACTATAAATGTATGCATATGTTTTCACTTTAACATAACCTCCCTACAGTTTTTTTCTTATTTTAACATGCATTACGTATATTTATAACCCATAAAATGTATTTCTATTAAGCTACACCTATGTTGGTTGCAAAGAAGTGATAGCGTTGTTAAAAAAAAGTCATTTTTTATGTGCATGTACATATGTTTACACAAGTTGTTTACTAAACTTGGATTTTTTTTGCTATTTAAATGCTCTATTAAAATAAATATTTAAGAAAAGATTTTTAGTAAACCAATTTAATGGACAAAAACATAGCAAAATATTTTATAAATAAATAGGTTTGCAAAATTTTGTCTATATAAACTTGATATTGAATGTACCAGAAATAATATAGTGGTTGATTTAGTAAAATCTGTACAGTTTTTAAACCAACCTCTGCTCCCTTCTGTGCCCCATCCCTTTGATGTACAACTCATGCATTTTTAGTTGTTGGCCAACCACAGACTATGTTTTCACAAGCATTATTCAGATATATCTGTAATAATAAGGGGTTGATTTAAAATTTGAAACTTTACAACACTCTGCAAATTGAGGAAATGTTTTTTTTCAATCTTTGAAATGAAAATATGGTGACAAATAACAGATGGTGTGGAAACTACAACTTTATGTAGTTAGGTCAGGACAGTAATTGATTGTACAGCAATATGCTGATAAGATATACTAACACTTTGGGCCTGATTTAACAAAGTAAATGAACAAATGCAAGACAAAAGACTATGGTATGCTTATATTGTGGCATGCATGAGTGGATCTACGCTTGCACTGTAAACACGATCCCTGAAACTACACTATATTGCCAAAAGTATTGGGACGCCTGCCTTCTGGCATCCCAGTCTTATTCCATAGGGTTCAATATTGAATTGGCCCACCCTTTGCTGCTATAACAGCTTCAACTCTTCTAGGAAGGCTGTCCGCAAGGTTTAGGAGTGTGTCTATGGGAATGTTTTACC